AAAGCACTGGATCATCCATAAATCAAATATAATCTAATCATTCCTTTAGGGAAAACTCAGAGTAAAAGGTCAATCCCATACAGTTTTGGTTCTGCAGAAAGATTCCAGATTTTGAATCCAGTATACTTCTTCCAATCCCACCTCTAAATGGCAAAGAAATAGTCATTTCTTTGAGGCCATAAAGTTTTTATATAACAAACATCTGGCTTAGAATCTATGTTTACCTGAAGAAATAAACTCCAGTATGGTCTATGTGCTAGGAAAAAAGATAGAAGGCAAACCACTTCTTCTAAAATATTGAAGGAGTAACATATTTACTAGTAAATGGTGCTCATAAAAGCCACATAACTCAAGTACTTTGGCCACCTAATGAGAAGGAAAGATTCACTGGAGAAGAGCCTAATGCTGGGAAAGATTGAGGGCAATAGAAGAAGGGGACGACAGAGAATGAGATGGCTGGATGGAGTCACTGAAGCAGTAGGTGTGAATTTAAATGGACTCCAGAAGATGGTAGAGGACAGGAAGACCCGGAGGAACGTTGTCCATGGGGTCGCGAGGGGTCGGACACGACTTCGCAATTAACAACAACAAAAGCCACATAGAAAGTTGATTGGCTGATTTTGCATCATGTATGTAATAACTGATTATTGCTCCTAATAATTCCATTTATTCCATTTTTGGAAGTATAAGATGACTTCGAAAGCAACTCTTTGTCTAGTAAAAATGCTGGTGAAAAGGCTATTATAATAAATAAAGACACTAAGTCTAAATTTCAGGTTTTTTTCTGAGGGATTTTATGATAAAACCACTATATTCTACACCAAATATTTAACCTGTCCTGTGTTCCTATTATCTTTTTTGGTATATTTATTGGCATGGTCAACTCGTGTTCATATACAGTATTGCAAACAGAAGTCCATACATAAGTGATAATGATCTCTATGGAGATTTCGTGTGCAACTGTTTAAATAAAATGGACATGATAATTCTAACTGAGTTCTAGTTTTATGCAAGTGGTGAGGCATAGCAACCAGTCAGCCTTAGCTGGGAGTATTCTTAAAAGAAGCATTTGATTGAAGTCATTGACCTAACAAGAGGATAACATCTTAAAGTAATCAGAATAACAGAGATGAAGGGGAACTAACAAGAGGATAACATCTTAAAGTAATCAGAATAACAGAGATGAAGGGGACCTTGGAGGTCTTCTAGTCCAACCCCCTACTCAAGCAGGAAACCCTATAACATTTTAGAAAAATGGATGTCCAATGTGTTCTTAAAAACCTCCAGTATTGGAGCACCCACAATTTCTGGAGACAAGTTGTTCCATTGATTAATTGTTATAATTGTCAGAAAATTTCTCCTTGGTTCTAGTTGGTTCTCTCCTTGATTGGTTTCCATCCATTGATTCTTGTTCTGCTTCCAAGTGCTTTGGAGAATAGCTTGAGCCCCTCTTCCTTATGGTAGCTCCTTAGATATTGGAAGATTGCTATCATGTCAACCTTACTTGATTTGTAACTGATCTGGGAAACCTAGGCAAGGGCAGATATGGTTATTATTTTGATAGAAAGCAACCAAAATTTTCCAGGGCTATGACTCCATGCTGAGATGTAAAAAAATCTAGAAAAAGGAAATAGCAATTGTATTGTTATATTTGTTGTCAAGAACATTTATGTCTACTGTAAGTAACTTCAGATGGAATGAGTGTGGAGTTGGCTTGCCCTGCCAATTTTTGTGTGGATGTGGTGAGGTATATAGAAACCTCATAAGCAGCCCAGAGTAACCTTGTGAGCAGGCCAAGTTCTGTTCCTAGAAAGGTAGTCTCAAGTACTAGCAACAACACTGCTTGAGGAAGAAGGGAAGATACTTTAGTGCCACTACTTGGCAGTAAGGAGATTGAAGGGTTGCTAAAGACTAGGTGGTGGCTCCAAGAAGAGATCAACAGGAGTGTCTAGAACTGTATAAGATAGGAAATCATGGAGAGAAGGAAGCTTGGTACAGTTAGACTGGGTTGCAAAAGGGGCAAGGATGGAAGATGAAAGACTTCTTTTTTCCCCCATCCCATGAGTGCCAAGCAGCTACTATAAAAAAAGATTAGTGGACAACAGCCAGCTGGGTGCCTGAACATCAGAGAGCAGCACCAGAGGCCAGTGCCAGAAAAGAGAAATAGTGCCAAAAACATAGAGAATGAGGTATTCAGAGGGCCATGTTAACAATCCAAAACCTTAGTGATGCTGTCCATAATAGAATAGTTATAAGTGGATAAGGATCAAGTAAAGCTGAATGAATGGTAAAATAAGAGGTAGCATACAGAGGAGATGATAACCAGAATTGAATAGAGTTAGTTTCAGTAAAGAAAAAATAAGAATACAGCATCAAATATAGAAGTGTAAAATGAAGTTACTAAGCTGGGAATTTTAAGGACAAAGAATAGAACTGGCATATAAACTGGAGAACTCAGAATTATTATGATAGAATGTAGTAGAACAGAATCAAGTTAAATAGAAAAGGATCTGTGCTTAGGATCTGCAATAAAATTAGGATCTAGGAATAAGCTCTAGTTAGATACTAGATAAGTTAGGATTGATGAAAGTGAGTGTACAGAAATAGGAAAAAATAAAACAAAGTGTACAGTAAATGAAAGAGCATATCATTCAGTTAAAAAGGAAAGTTTCTCTTTCTTTCTGTTCTACTGTTAACTTTCTTCTCCTCCTTCTACAACCTTCAGTTCCAAAGGAAGAGAGCAGTGGCCACAATGAACTGTGATGAAACCAAAATTGCATCCTATTTATTATTTGTTCTTGTTTTCATTCACAATGAAAAATGCAACAGGTATTCAATGACATTATCCAGTACATCCATAATAACATACATGCATTATCATTATCTATTGTAGACATGGCATTTGTGTGCCATGCTCTCATTTTTTCCTCCATGGATACTCATCTTCCAAGGGGGATGCATAATTTCTATTGGGCCATGGATCATTTTGATTGTCATGTACACAATAAAACAGGCACAGCCAGATCCCAAAATGGGAAGAGCGGAAACCAATTTGGTATCATTTATATTTAAATGTTAGTAAAATTACATTAATTGCATAAAGTTATTATCACAGTTGCATATGCCTCCAGCTCTTCAAGATTGAGATTTTCCCTCCCACTTCTGAGTAGAGATGTTAGGGAAGATTATAAAAGCTTTTTCATGCAAAACTAATCTTCTCCTACTGATCTATAGAATTTCTTTTTTGTAACATTATAAACATGTTAAACATATTTCTTGATTTCATGTCCTCTCTTGTAAGATGACTTGGTTGATATTTAGCACAATATTCTGTTCCCCCCCCCCACTGGTATATCATGGTGAATTGAGAAAGAAAAACATGTGAGTGAATCTTGTTGCCTTTGCTGTCTATAGATGTCAGTCACTTTCTTGGGGCTTGTTACTCTAAGACAGGGGTAGGCAACCCAAAACACTCAAAGAGCCACTTGGACCCGTTTCCCACCAAAAACAAAACACTGGGAGCCGCAAAACCCTTTTGATATCTAAAATGAAGATAACACTGCATATATCCTTTTTTACCTTTATTATAGGTGTGTGTATGTGTATGTGTGTGTGTGTGTGTGTATGTGTATATGTGTGTGTACACACACACACACACACACACACACACACACACACACATATATATATACACATTAAAAATAAAAGTAAAAATATGACTCTTGGGAATATCCATACTATTAAAACAATGATCACCAAGAGAATGCTTTAAGAGAATAAAATTACATACACACAAAGGTAAAAAAAGGATATATGCAGTGTTATCTTCATTTTAGATGTCAAAAGGGTCTCTCTCTCCCTCCCTCTCTATCTGCCCTTGGTCTGCCACTCCTCTTCCCCCACTCTCTCTCTCCCTCTCTCTCTCTTTCTCTCTCTCTCTTTCTCCCCCCCCTCCTATCTGCTGCTCACCTGGCAAGCTTCAAGCTGTTGTCCAACAACCTCCGGGGTAGGCAACCTCGTCTCTTTTATGACTCATGGACTTCAACTCCCAGAATTCCTGAGTCAGCCTAGCTGGGCTAGCTAGCTCTCTCCTGCCCTTCCTGCTTCCTGCTTCCTTCAGAGACGCAGCAAAGGGAGGAGCTCCGCCCAGAAAGCTTTTCAGCTCCTCGGAGAACACTGTGAGTGCACTCTCTTTTACACATAAACACACACACACACACACACACACACAAAACACACACACACACACCCAGACACACACACACCCAGACACACACACACCCAGAGAGAGAGAGAGAGAAGCAGGGAAGTGCAATTGCCTCTCTCTGTCTCTGTCTCTCTCTGCAAAGGCAGAGGAGGCTGGGAGCCACAGGGGAAGGCTCAAAGAGCCACATGCGGCTCCGGAGCCGCAGGTTGCCGACCTGTGCTCTAAGAGATAGAGATGGAAATAAATAGGTTGAGGTGGACAGATTTCAGGCTTTCAGGAACAACTTTATCATTTGAACACTGAAAACCGTTCACCAGACTCAGAGGCAAAGGGCTTATGTTTAGAAATAAATAATTCTGACATAGGAATTGGAGAAGTAGAAATGTACTCAGCTTGCATTCCTTCTACCAATTGTGGATTTCATTTCAGCTGCACAAGTGAGAGTGGGAGGAAGATTGTGCTTGTTGTTGCTAATCAATTGGGAGATTGAAATCCTTTTAATGATAGATGCAAGCATCTACCAATAGAGACCACAATCTCTTGTCTTATATTAAACTGCATAAATCATGGAAAAAATTAATTCCTAGGGTCCTTGTGATAGCCCTTAAGCCTTCCTTTTGCTAAGGGAAGGAATCAATGTCCATTTCATTAATAATACCCTGTGTTCATGATGCCAAAGATATTTATTGTCAAGAGTAAAAGCTTGAGCTAATTTGCTAAGTTAATTAGTGCTGTACTGCAAAGCACAGACTATGAAGGAAAAGACATGCATCTGAGAGAGGGTGGAAAATAGATGGAAAGCCTATAAAATGTGAACTGGTTGTTCTCTCTTATTTATGTGTGACATAGGAGCAAATGTTGGCAGGCAGCTACAAGCTCTGTACCTAGAGATCTGGAGGCACATTGTCTCACTCCCTTTTTCCACCAAAGGAGAGGACATTCCTGTTGAAAGCCTAGAAGAATTCTTCTTCCCTTCTATGCTAAGGTACAAACTACTAAAATCCAGAGCTAACTGCTGTATGTATAAGTGCCGGAGCTTAAAATAGACTGGAAGTCTTCTCCTTGGAAATGTCTTTTTCTGTTCTTGTCTATATGAGAGAGAGGGATTATAATTTCAATTAGCAGACAATTTGAGGAACTGAGGTCCAGTAAACTCAAATATTTATTAAACCTGAAATATTTTCTCTCCTTTCCCAGAAATAAGTGATGGCTCCTATGAAGGCAGACCTGTATGGGATGCTATTCTTAAGGCAAGCTTTAGGGACTTTTTTCCCCCTCTCCTGTTTCCTCAACCACCCAAAACAAACAAAATGGATTCCCCCTGAAAAAATAAATCCTTCCCACAATAGCCACATTCTCTGCAGCAGTAGAAGTCAGAAATCACAAAAAACAAAGAAATAATATAGAGCACGGGGTCAAAACTCACTGGAGAAGGGCCTAATGCTGGGACAGATTGAGGGCAATAGAAGAAGGGGACGACAGAGAATGAGATGGCTGGATGGAGTCACTGAAGCAGTAGGTGTGAACTTAAATGGACTCCAGAAGATGGTAGAGGACAGGAAGACCTGGAGGAAAGTTGTCCATGGGGTCGTGATGGGTCGGACACGACTTCGCAATTAACAACAACAACAACGGGGTCAAACTCACCATGTCACGTGATGTGTCGCGATATATCACAACTCTTTTTGCATTGCCGGCAATGGGGTGAGTGTGGCTTTGATATGATGAAACCGGCCGGCGGGCTGGCAGTTTGACACCCCTGTTATAGAGATATATTCAAAACAAATAAAATATAGTTACCGATTGAAAAAGTCCTTATTCCCACTTTAACAGAGATGTGACCAAGTAGAAAAAAACATTGTGTCAGCCGAAAGATATACTAAAGCAGGGGTCCCCAACCCCCAGTCCAGTACTGGGCCATGACATGCCAGCAACTGGTCCGCACAAACAAGCAAAGCCATATCTGCGGGATGCAGGCAGCACACAAAGCCACGCACCCTCTGGTCCGTGGAAAAACCTCTCTCCATGGAACCGATCCCTGGTGCCCAAAAGGTTGGAGACCTCTGTACTAAAGGACAACTTTTCTATCTTGAAGAAGTTCCTAAATTTTTTAAAAGTACTGAGCAGCTGAAAACAGACAAATACTTATTATCAACTTGCATCACTAGCAAGAGGAACTGTAGTTCTAGGCTATTAAGAAGTCAATAGTTTGGCAATGCTATTATATTGTTGTACATTTTGTAGCATCCATGTAGCTCATTGGTCACCTATTAGTAGTGAGTGTAGAAATAAGAGGATTACTGTATTGAATTCATTAGAATGAAACATAGCTCAAGTTATGATGGAGAATAGCTCATGTGAGGGCTGAAGCTGCCAGTTTGATGAGGACATTAATATATAGCAGGCTTTTTGTAAAGAGAAAAATTGCATGGCTATATCACTTCACTGTGGGAAAATATTTGGGTTTTGCATTAATATATTCATTGATAACAGCTAATTCATTGCACTAGAGTCCTAAAATCACGAGACTCTAGGGAACAGATCACCACACAAGCATTCTTGTGCCATATGATTATGTGTGTGTAAATAAATTCCATAGCAAGAAAAAAATAGAATAAACAAAATATCCAATTAGGAAAAGCATATTCAATAGCATGCCATAACAAGCAATCAATTACCATAAGATATATCTAACATGAGAGCCAGTATGGTTGAGCAGTTGAGGCATCAGGCTAGAAATTGGGAGACCATCAGTTCTAGTCCTGTGCTAGGCACAAGCCAACTGGGTGATTTCGGGCCAGCCACTCTCTTTCACCTTAGGAAGGAGGCAATGGCAAAAATACTTCTGAAAATCCTTGCCAAGAAAACTGTAGAAAATTGTCTAGGCAGTCTCCAAGAATTGGATGCAACTGAATAGAAGAAAAAAGAAATCTAACACACTTTGAATAGTTATAGAAAATATTTCCCTAAAATAAAGTCCACAATAATAAAACATTGACAATCTCCACCATTTGGTGAAGAATTCAGCAGATTGCCAGTTGAATCTGCCTGTTTTATGTCGAATGAACAATGAACTTGCCCAAATGAGGTATAATCCATTCTCATATCAGAAGGACGTCAGGGATGCCAATGGGTTATCTTCTTCCTTTGGTTAATTCTAGATTGACAATTACAGCAAACAGTGGAAAATAATTAGGTCAAACTCTCTCTCCCCCCACCATTATGTTTACATTTTATTATTATTCAGTGTGTAAGCCTGTCACTTTTTCCCGTGGAGGGTTATTGTTAGCAACTAGTTGAAGCAGAAATATTTATCTGTCTTCTTTTCATCTTCCTTTTATTTTCTTACTAAGATCAAACATCTCAGTTTTCTTTGAGTACAGAGACAGAAACTCTTTTTGAATCCTGGTGAGAAATGATGGTTCTGTGATGATATTATTTCATGTTGTAGTAGAGTTGTCTTGTTTACTACAGTAGCTGACAGCATGCAACATTCCCTCCCATGGCTGCTACGGTCATTTTTTTTCCCCTTTCATAATAAATTGTCCTCCCACCCCCAGTTCTTAAGGTTCAACTAAATTAGGTCAGGGTATGTTTTCTGGATCATGTGTTGCCACAGTTTATATTCTGAGCCAAAAAATTATGAAACAAATCTCTAAAATGAATAAACTATGTGAAGTAGGGTAGAAGTAGCAGATCTTATTTACATTACATACAGTAAGTAGCAGATCTTATTTACATTACATACAGCCACAGAAATGTTTTTTAAAGAATTAAAACTGTCAAAATTAGTATGATAAATATAAACATTAGCATGATTAATATTCATTATTGGGATGAATATGGAAGTATCATAGTTGGGTGTTTTCTTATGTTTTTAAAGTACAGTCTATAATAAAAAGAGACAGAACAGCTATAAAAATAGCTCTTAGTTCACAAATACACTTTATTTCTTTCTCTAAAAAAGTCATTTACCTTTCACTGGGGTGCAGTATAGCTTATTTAAAAAGACTTTTAATTCTCTCATATTTCAAGAGATCAAACATACCTTTGCCTCAGGCATCTGTACAGTAAAAGCAAACTTTTCTTTTTCTTCCCCCCCTCCACAAGGCAGTAGTAACTTAAAGACTTTCTGAAATGCTCTTTATAAGAGTTTGACAGGTCTTGAAAAACAAGGAAGGAACTGCAAGTCCAATATATTACAGTGGAGGAAGAATCTCTCAAATCTGGGACTTTAAGCAGTCAGCTGCATTCTTGCATTTTTTGTTTGTGACAGTTTTTCAATTTTTCTTTTATAATAAATGCAGTGATAATTCCAGCAATTTACTTCCCATCTCCCTTCTTTGGCTTGCCAATCCTGGATTGTTTCATCAATATGGAATACAAGTTTGGCAGGTTTATCTTGTAACTTTTTGATGAAGAGGCAGGACAATTGGTTTCTGTTCTTAGTTTTGGCATCTCTGTGATGTTTAAAGTGCATCTGTTCCTGCTCACACAGTTCTTCAACAAATGAATGAAGCTGTGAATGAAAGACAAGCAGAAAAGTCCACATATCTTGGAGGGGGTGGCTTCTAAGATGTTTAAACTTACGTAGTTCCTTGGATCAAGTCAGTATAACGGGAAGGTTCTGGAAGAAGAGATCTTCTTCTGTATTACTGTATTATAAATTGCTTGCTTTCTAGCTTTAGAACTATAGTATTATGTAGTTTGTACATTGCTTGCTTAGTTCTCATAAACAAACACCCCCTCAGAGATGCAGTTTATTGAATTAAAATCCAGTGAAAAATCATGTCTATAGAGCCCCCTGGTAATAAACAATTTGCACATAGTTATTCTGCACACAAGATTTATACCAGGCAAAAATGGGAACTCTTATTAATTTATTTATTGAGATTGATATATACACACATTCAATAGAATAGAGTATAAAATATATTTTATTATACCACTGAATCATCTCATTTAATTGGATGATTAGCAAATGAATGATTATTGAGTTTCAGTCATAGTCCCAAAATTTCCTTTTCAATAACAAGAATTCTATTCTGGTTTTTTAAGCGTTATACTTATCTGATATCTAGTGCATCCCAGATTGTTGGGATCATCTGAGGTGGTGCATCATTAGCATGGGCATTCCATTTGATGCAGTGTTTTATCTGTCCCATTCAACTGAACCTATTTCTCATTTTGTTTTTATTTTTACTGCTATCTTACCAATGCAGAAAAGCAGAGAATAACTTCCACAAATCCCTTCTAGAATAATTAACATACTTCTTAGTGCCAACCGTATTGGCTAGCCAAAAGGCTTCTGATGGAATTAGAAGAGCCCAGCACAATGCAATCCTCGCATCTGTTGTGCTGATCACTGCCAAAAATGCATCAGGATTTGTTTGCTGCCAGTGAGTTCTTTTGACAGAGTTCCAGCTTCTTTCTGAAGTATTTGATACACTGCTGGGTTTTGGGAACTTTTCAGCAATGTTTTGGGGAGTGAAGTAAAGAGATAAAATACACAAAATAGTGTATCTATCTGAGATATTGTCCTGTAATTGCCCTTAGAATGGTTAAGGATCCTGCTTTGTAAAAGCAACTGTTTAAAAGACTGGGCAGTCCAACAGTTAAAGATAAACCCCCTACAAATTGGAAAAGTAGAGGCTGCCCATCAATTGTTAAGCATGCACAGATGTTACCTGCTCACAATCTTCTCTCACTATGATGAGATGAATTTCAGTTTAAATGAAGGTAAAGATTCCCCCAAATTTGCCTCTTTAAATTAGTATTTGCAAGCATTATTTGTATTCTTTTCTGTCTTCTTTTGTGTGATGTAACCTAACTTCACCTAAGTTTAGTAGCCTCTGAATATAATGATGGATTCATTTAGTTTGAACAATCTGATATGCCATGTAGTTCATTACTAATCTGAAAGGGACCAGGTATCTGATTTTGGTTTGATGTATCAATCAAGAAAGTTTACTAGTGATCCAGCCCTTCTTCTGCTTTGGAGAAATAAAAGAGAATATGTTGCTATGACAGTAGTCCAGAAAGTGATAACCAGGATAATATGACAGGTTGTTCCTTTCAGGACAAGGCACAAATATATTTCTCTTCTTGGTGCAACATTTGCTGCTTTGAAACTGCATTGAAACTAGATGCAACATCTCTTCCAGAAGCAGATATCCATAATCTGCAACCCCACTCCACCTCACCCCAATTACGTACCATATGAACAAAGGAAAGCTCATCTCATTTGAAAGGCTTATCCCTCATTTATCCAAATCAGTATATCAACAAAACTCTATTAATTTTGTACTCTTGATTCTGAAGGGATCAGATAATACTCTTCAGGGGGCAGTTTGGGGATCTATCACTGTGGGGTCCTTGAAACTCTGGGAGGTTGATTGTTTTTTGCAGATGTTTCATTACCAAACTAGGTAACATCATAATGTTACTAGTTTGGTAACAAAATGTCTGCAAGAAAACAACCAAGCTCAGAGAGCAACAAGGACTCTACAGTTCAACCCTGAACTACAACTTTTCTCTCCTATCTCTGATCCTCAACCATGCTCTAAAACCAATTTCCTTTGAAATCCAGATTCATCTTTTTCTTTTCTTTCCTTGCTGTTTGATCCATGGCTGGCTGTTAACAGCTATTCACAGCCTGCCGCCCCAAAGTTGATGAAATATGACAATAATTAATTTCTGGTCTGTTTAATAAACTTTCTGTCATTGGTGCAATAATGTGATCTTTTGGGTTTTAGGCCAGCTTCTTCTATGCAGCAAGATTTATTACCAACTCTTTCCCTGGAGCTTGCAGCCCTATGTAGGACTTTTATTTGGAATGAAAGAATTGGGACAAAGTGTTTCATTTCATGAAATGTCATATGTCAGGTGAAACTTTTTCATGTCTTCTTTAAAGGACACATTTTAAAACATCTCTGAAGATATGTACTTTTTTTCTCTCACTGGAGCAGACCCTAAAATATATGAGTTATTTGAACAAAACTTGGAACTGCTCTGTTCTGGTATTTGATTGTTTATCTGTATGCTCATTGTTCTTCTTCAAATGATCGTCTTTCTAGGTAAGCATAAACTAGAAAGAACCTGGAAAAAGTAGTGCATTGACAAGGAGAGGAATATTTAAAGAATGATATAAGAGCCACTGATGAGAAATTCAAATTAGAGAGTACTAAGTACTAATATTAAATGCTTACACATTTTCATTATCCTCCAAACCAATGCAGGCTGCTGATTGTGCTGATTAGTCCTCAACCCAAGAGCCTTAAACAGCAAAAAGATGGGAGAAAACTTTGAGCTTTATTAACTACAGACAAAGAGCAAAAGCTGCTAAACTAATAAAGGCTGGACCCCAGAGCCATTGTGTGAAGAGCTCAGGTAATTCCAGGATGGATTTTATTCCTGAATATTCTTTCATTATATTTCTAGAAGCTGAATTCTGATGAATCCAAATTCTTGCATTTTCTAAAAACATTCCCTATGGTCATACTGCCAGAACTGTAGGTACATTCTGAATATTTCTTTCCTCTTTCTTTTAACTATGATATGACATTTTCCTTTTTTTTTGGCTACAGAATAAATCTGCAGTTATGCCTGAAAAATATAGTAATCAAAAATCAAATTACATATTCTTTTGTAAAACATTTGGGAGGTGGCAGCATCAGGCAGAAAGAGCATTCTTTTTTGTGGAGTCCTTAATATTTTGTGAATTTGCTTGTTTGCTTGCAGATGTTTCATTACCTGGCTAGGTAATCTCATCAGTACTAGTGAGTATGTGTCCCCCCCCCCCAGCTTATATGCAGAAGTTCCTTGGTAGTTGGTAGTTCCTTGATTGAAATATTGTTTTTTGCTTAATTGTTTTCCTAATGTTAATCCCTGCTTATTTGGGTGTTGGCTGCTGGAGGGGACATGTTCTGGACTTTTTGTTTTCTTATTTCTTTCTTAGGTTTTTGTTGTCTCTTTTGAATGGTATGTAAATATGCTTTATTTCTTTATGTCTATTGATGGATAATTTGTCTGAATGCCAAGCTTCCAGGAATTGTCTTGGGTTTTTGGATTTGGCTTAGTCTAAGATGCTCATTGTTTCCCAATTGAGACTGCAGTTGACTCTGTCTGTATGTTATTTTTGCTGTGCTAGTCCACTGCAATTCCAGCTTTTGCTTGGTAGCAGCATAGGCTGTGACATCAGAACTTCCAAGATGAAGAATACAATGCTTTGACCTCTACCCCTTACTATAATCCTCTATCCCTTACTAGGAAGAAAGCCCCTTGAACTCAGTAAAGGACCTTTGGGATTGCAATATTATTTTCATACCTGATAATTGTAAATGTTTTATATATTACTTGTGTAAATTTCTTAGAATAGCTCATGAAAAAGATGACAGACACATTGAGAACAAATAAGAATTATAATATAAGAATTATAATTAATGCAGGTTTTTAGTTCACATTACAAAAATGGCAAGGGGATTGGGAGGGTCAAGGAGGGGGAGAGACTGCTGATTAACTGCAAACTGCTGACTTTCCCAAGTTCTGCTGTTTTCCCGAGTGCTGTTTGATTGCCCATTGTATCTGAGTAGAGTATGGCTCTTTCTGACCTACCTGAGGCAGCTCAAGAGGATATAGGTTTTCAGAAAGCATGCTCAGATGAATGAGTAATCAGGGAAAGCAAAAAGGACTTTAGTGAAGGGTGTACTTTTTTCTCTTTTAACTGAATATAGACCAGGATCAGGAAAGAAGAACACAAAGGGATAAGCAGGACGCCAGATGAAACAAGAAGCTACAATAGGCTGTAGCTTCTTGTTCCATCTGGCCTCCTGCTTATCCCTTATCCCTCTGTACAACAGAGCGATTGTCACTCAAAACCTCAAATGTTTCTATGCCAATGCACAAAGTAGGAAAAATAAATAGGGAGAGCTATAGATCCCAATTCAAGAGAACAAGTCATATGTGATAGGCATTGTTTGAAATTAGTAGTATGAGGGATACTCATGAATGGCACATAACAAGGAAGGAAAAGATTTATTTAAAAAGGAAAGAACATAGCATTATGCATGAAGAAGAAAGGGGGAACCCATTCAGACACAGCATTTGTCCAGAAATTCAAGAGTAGGAACATGAAAATCCTATTGAAAATGTCTGGGTAAGAATACAAGAATACAATGTGATAATATTTTGGGCCTTTTCTACAGACCTCTTAGGCAGCAGAATGTAAAGATAAGGGCTTTCAGTTTTAGATAACTAATTTTTTTTTCAAATAGGAATGTGATCGTGATTATGGGAGATTGTCATTATCCCACCTTTGCTGGGAATTGAACTCTATAAGAATCCTCCTCTATAAGAGTCCTCTTTTGCTCTTTGACATCATTTGTCAGCAAGTGGGAAAGAGAACAAGAGTGTCTGTTATCCTCACCAACAGTGAGGAATTGGTTGAAGAAGGAAAGCTGACTGGAAACTTGGAAGAAAGTAAGTACATTATCCTTCAATTTGTGATGTTGATATTGGATGGAGGAACTGAAAGGAATAATAACTTAGTAGATCTGAAGAATTACATAGACAAGCAAAGTCTTAATGAAGCCTCTAATGGAATTCTCTTTAATAAATTAGCCTGTGCTAGATAATGCTAATGTTAGGAATGCTCATTGCCAGTTAAAGAATAAGCATTCCCAAAGCATGCTTGTTACCACATCACTACAGCTTAGAGAGAAGTATTGTGTGGCATGCCATGTGGCTCTAATCTGGGCCTCATGTTAATTAAAAAAGTTAAAGTGATGACTTATAAGTTTGACACAAAGTTGGGAGCATAGTTAATACTGTAGAGCAAGGCTTTTCAACCAGTGGTACGGGTACCACCTGTGATACATTGGCACCTGGCAGGTGGTACACGAACATCCTAGAAAAATGGTAGCAGGGGAGGGGAATGAGCTGAACCGGTGGCAGCACCGCACAAGCCTGAGCGAGAGATGGCTGGATCTGCAGGGTTGTCAGGGCTCAGTGGAAGCGCCAGGATCAGCACCAGGCTCCAGCTGGAGCTCAGCACTGATCCTGGCACTTCTGCTGAGCCCAGAAGAAGCGCCGATAAGCTGGAATGTTGCAGCATCTCCAGGGTCTTGTGATTTACATTCAGATGCTTGGCAACTGATTCATATTTATGACGGTCACAGTGTCCCAGGGTCATGTGAAGTAACCAAAACCTGGTGCAACCACCCAGCAGACGGGAGGAATAAAAACCAAACACCCCACCCCACCCCCACTGCCAATCCTCAACAGAAATGCTCACAACAATGAAAACCTTAGACAGAGGAAGAGCACTGCTGGGTGGGCAGGCAGGTGTCTCGCTCGACACTTTTTTCAGTGTCATTGTAACTTCGAACAGTCACTAAGCGAGCTGTTGTAAGTTGAGGACTACCAGTACTTCATCACTTTTTTCCTTTTGAGGGGGGTCATCAAGTTTTTGACACCTTGGTAGGCGACTGGTGATACTCAGATATTGCCATATCCTAAAAGTGGTACAATGGGTGAAAAGGTTGAAAAGCCCTGCTGTAGAGAACTGAGAGAAAGTATAAACAGCTAGATGGACCTGAGCAGTGGATTAAAATGAATAGGATATAATTTGACCATTTTTGAAAGGCAATAGTATGGGGAGACATGATTTCATTGGAGTGCATATGAAAAGGCCTTAGGTCTCCTTGTCAAATAAAAAAATTAAGCAAAAAAAAAAGCAAATCCTATTTTGGGGTACATTGGCAAAAACATAGATTTTAATTCATGAAGGTATTCTATTCTGCTTTAGTCAATGGAGAACTATGTCTAATTCTGAGTAGTACAATCCAGAAAGGACAATGACAACTTGGAACAAAGGATCTGGGTATACTTCACCTATAGAAGAGATGATTGAGGAAAGATAGCAATTATCAGCCTTAAAATATCTGAAAGTTTATGGGAATGGACTTATTTTGTACTGCTCAGGAGGGCAAGAACAGAACCAATAGTTTTAATATATAAGACTCAAGAAAAACATCTTTTTGAAATATGAATGGGCTGCCATATAAAGTGGTGAGTTCTTCTTCACTGGAGGTCTTTAAACATAGCCTGAAGGTTCATCTAATAAATGATGTTTAAGGTATCTTATAGTTCTATGAAATAGGCTGAAGGAAAGATATGAAAATTCCTTAATTCATTCTAGTTGTGACACAGTGTCTGACCTGATGATGACAGTTTCTCTGGATAACTTTAGGGATTACACAATGGACAATATGAGAACATTAATAGCCAGTAGTATAATATAAACATTTTTGGAATAAAAGGAATAATTAGAACCTTATTAATAATTCAGACAGAGTGTAGAGTGCAATAGCCACTTGTTATATATTTTACATCAGGTTACTGGGCAGATTTCTTATTGAATGAGAAAAGCCAATCAGAAGTTAAATCTGGTTCCAGCACCTATCCATGATTACAGAATCCACCAGACTCCATTTTATCAAACAAATCCCAGCAGACTCATCCAGCATAGCCAGCGGTGAAACAGGTGGAGCTTACAGTATCTTGGCATCTGTTTGCTAGGAATGATGAAAGCAATCTTATATCAAGGAAGATCATTGGTCTACCTAACTTAACTCTATTGACAACAGCCACTTGCCAGATTTCATTGCAAGTCTTGTCCCGCCCCATAAAAATGTCAGAGATTGAATTACAAACTTTTGAACCTCATGTTTTATCACTGAGTTATGAAAGAATTAAAAATGGACAAAAGTTCTCTCTTAGCATCACTGCCATTAAATATTTCCAAAATTCTACATGGAAATGTCATGATAGAGACTTCTCAAAACATTTCATGCTGCAAGAACATAAATGTTAACAGTATTTACTTCAGCATAAACTTTTCTGCAATCTATAAAGCACATCTGCACATATTTCAAATTAATTATAACTAGCCAAGTTATGAGTTTCAATTCCCAAGCAAGGTAGGCCATATTTTGTCAAATAGATATGCTCAACAAATGAGTTTCACCATGAAGTACTATTTTAGTGCACAGCAGTAACTTGTGCAGACTGACAATATAGGGTTTGCATTTTGTTATATAGATACAGAGAAGCTATGACCAGTGGGGATACATTAAATATTTTATTATGCCCTGAAAAATATAGCCACATTTCTAACTGTGCAATATCTAACTCTGAAATTCTGGTCTTTTGATTGGTGGAATTATTCTGGTATTGGAATTATGTTTCCTCTAACAGAAAGCATTTCCTTTTGGCCTTAATCTATATAATATTTCTGTATATAACTCAATGAATTCAAAAGTAGCCTTTCGCCTCATTTCCAGGCTTCTGTTAAACAAAAGGCATTTATTGTTCTACAGCACAGTCATAATTATTAACAATTATTTAAAATTCAAAGGTACAGCATTTCTAATTGAAGATTTATAGAACATCACAGTCTTTAGCTTTCAATAGACTGCTTAATTGTAGATACACTGTGAATGATAGTAATTGCTTGACAGGGATTGGTGCAAACAAAGTTTCTAAAACCCACATGTTCTGCTTTGTTTTGTTTTTTTATTCTACAATTTCACTTCTTTTCCAGTTTTGTTCCACTCTTCCTCTGCTTCTTTACCTGCTTTAAGTCCTAGTGGAGATATTAAGCTTGCAGTCACCTCTCTGCCTTGATAAAACTACAAAACACCAAGTGGCACCAAGTGGTAAAGGCTAGCAATGTTACAGTAATACCAGGAAGATCATCATTATGGTGGAGGAGGGTAGTGAAGTAGAGAGAACAGTTAACATACCCATTATTGTCAGTGTGTAGAACTTGTAACTTCACCGATACAGTTAGTCCTTGACTTACAACAATTCATTTAATGACCATTTGAAATTACAACAGTACTGAAAAAAGTGACTTATGATCACAAGCTGCAAAGGTGTATTAATTAGATACAATAGCTTGATAACCAGCAGGAGAAAAGAGGACCTGAGCAAGTATAGTGCAACTTTACCTCACTTAGATACTACAGGTATCGACTTGAATAGTAGCTTATATACAAAAGCAAGGGCTAAAGGTAAAATATCTGCAAATAGGGGTCCAAATGGGCTCCTGATGGATCTCTCCTCTCTCCTAGAATGAACAACTCAAATAGTGATTCCCAGCTTTGGATTTCCAAGGTTGGTGGACTTACAACAGTTCATTTAGTGACCGTTCAAAGTTACAACAGCACTGAAAAAAGTGACTTATGACCATTTTTCACATTTATGACTGTTGCAGTATCCTCAGGGTCACGTGGTTTGCATTTGGATGCTTGACAATTGGATTCATATTTACGACGGTTGCAAGATCCTGTGGTCACGTGACCTTCTTTTGCCACCTTCTGACAAGCAAAGTCAAGGTGGAAGCCAGATTCACTTAACAACCGTGTTACTGATTTAACAACTTCAGTGATTCACTTAACAAATGTGGCAAGAAAAGTCCTAAAATGGGACAAAACTCACTTCATAAATTTCTCATTTAGCAACATAAATTCTGGGCTCAGTTGTGGTTGTAAATCAAGGACTACCTGTATAGGTCACTTTATTGTTAGTTATACTTTTGGGATTGCTGAGTAGTTCAACTATATTGTTACAGGTAGTCCTCGACTTAGGACCACAACTGGTACCAGAATTTTCAATTTTACAATCTTTTTTTGCCACAGTTGTTAAGTGAAACACATGGTCATTAAGTGAATCCAGCTTTTCTCCCAATGACTTTGCTTTTTAGAAGCTGACTGAAAAGGTTGCAAATGGGAAATCACCCACATGACTCTGGGATGCTGCAACCATTAGAAATACATGCCAAGCACCTGAATTTTGATCACGTATTTTGGCGATGTTGCGAGGACTAATCCTAAGTCCCTTTTTTTCAGTGCCGTTGTAATTTCAAATGGTCCCTAAATGAATGGTTTTAAGTCAAGGTTTATGTGTATAACAATTGAAACACATAAAATAAAAAACAATCTGGTGCTTAGGACATTTGCTAAGGTGTCGTTTTACCTATACACAAGTTGTGCTTCAAGGACTGATGCGATTTTATGTGTGCATATTTGAAAGGAAATTATCACGCTGAAGATTTAAAACGCTGTAAAGTTGCCAGGAAGCTCCAGTGCTGTAATTTCTATTGGTGGATACCACTAACAGTATAGAAGATTTTGTGCTATACTGGCAGCTTAGATTCAGGTAAATAATTCCCATTGACTTGGAGCTGCAGAAGCTCCAAGATTTGAAGGTTTTTTTCTCCTACTATGTGCTTGCTGAAGTTTATATTGCAATAGTTATGATGTTAAATTTGCTGCTGCACAGTGCATTGTTTTTTTACATCTCTCGGGATTGTGCTAAGATTTCCTGCTTAGTGATATTGTCTATGAATTAACTATTAAGATTATATATATCCAGTGGTGGGATTCAGCCAGTTCGCACCAGTTCG